AAAGAAAAATTTGTACTATTTGTTATGACTATTGTTATTAAGAAAATGAGCTTGATTATATGTAAGATGAGTTTACTAAGTCCTATTATGTCAAAATTTAAATTTATAAAAAAGGTTTCTATTTGTTGTAATTTGTTATCAGCAGAACAATTTCTAATATTATAGGTAATAATGGATAAAAATTCTGGATTATTATGTAATGAAGAAAGAGGAGCATTTGTATTAAAATTACTATTATTAATAGGATACGATGAAATCATTTTTACAATATTATACGTTTTATTATTATTAATCATTAGGAAGAGTTAATCATATTATTAACGTGCAATCTTTGCGAATTGCAACAGTTAGACGAGGTATTTGAGTGATGATTCTTTTAAGTTTACGTAGCGACTCGATTTAATTTAACTTGAGATTTATAATCTACACGGTAGTGTATTCACGATAAAACTAAAAGCAAGGTGACTCGATTGATTCAGAGGTATAATAATACGTTTATTGATAATAATAATAATAAGAAAGAGACGAGATAGTAATAGAGAAATAAGAAAATAAGAAATAATATGAAAAGAAATCAAAAGAGTTAAAGTACTAAGTGGGATGTTAGGCCAGGCGCCTCTACAAGAACTACTAATGTCGATCTAAAAGTAAAACTAAAGAAAACTAAGTGAACTAAAAGTGAACTACTGTTTTTCATGATTCTATTGCTCTCTATTTATACTAAATTAATACATAGATGGATATAATAAATAAATCAAACATATCTAATATGTCTGATATGTCCAAGATATCAATTATATCAAATATGTCCAGTATATCAAATATATCAAATATGTCTGACATTTAGATCTGCAATATACTGCGTCACGTTCGTCAATCCAATCCTGTTATAATATATAAGGCTTAATATAATGCTAGTGAGATAGATTTGAGCTCAGATCTAAGATTTACAAGTTCACTTTTAACTTGTGTTATACAAGGAGTGACAATTCCATCATTCTGTTGTGTTCTATTATTATTAAAATTAGTATCTTTGTCAGTTTTAGGTGAATCTGCTATAGAGGGTTGTTTATCGTATGTAAGTGTACTCTTTAATGTATGTTGAGTTTGTTCATTGACTATGTCCATTATCAGTTCATTATCATCATCGTCAGAAATCTAGATATACAACTCAAGTCTAGAAAGATGATAAACAATATCCTCTTGATTACAATATTGTTGAAAGACTTCATTTTTTATAGTTCTAATCTCATCAGAAAGGAGTACAAGTTTATTGTCAATGTCATCTATTCTGACTATCAAGGAGTGAATAGCATCGACTGTGTTAAAAGGAATATTAGAATTTTTAATATCATTTCTTTTATGAGATACTGATATATTATTAATAATTGGTTTGGATTTGATAGC